AGCAGGGGGCGGGGCTTCGTCATGTGCCCCGCCCCCCGGTACCTCACCCGGGGGAACTGCGATCCCCCGCGTTCCCCCCCGAAATGACCTCTGGCCGTGGGAGGAAGAGACCATCAGTGGGCGCCCACAGCTATCAAGGGAGCGCAGTCGACTGTCCTCTAGACTGCTGAGAGAGGCCCTTGGCATGCTTGTCTTGCCTGCAGAGGTGGCATCCAGAAGGCGATAAAGGTGGTGCCAGGTGAGTCTCAGTAAAGACACGGGGAGGGGAAAACAAAATTGACCCAAGAACCACAAGGGTAAGAAAGAAGCCTGACAAAGGGCCAGTATTAAAAGCCTAGCGTATACTTATTAGATACAAAAATATGGGTATTTATTAGGAAGACGGTTTAAACCATATTAGGGCCCAATGAAAGCCTTGCTGCAAAGTACGAGTGACCTGAACACAAGGGCCAGTACGAGTGACCTGACACATTTCCGCCCCTTGGGGACCTTTTTCAGAGGTCAAACCATTTGAGGTACAGATAGACACATGTTACAATGAAATAACAATCAAAAAATTAATACTGGACCAAAAAAGGAAAGTCCGGCAGCCAGGTGCCTTTGGGCGCCAGACCCACGGCTCCCGTCCCAGGAGGCCTCGTGAGCGCCCTTGCCGTGTGCCCGTTGGCCTCGCTGCTGAACTTTCCTTCTGTAGACAATAAATATTGGCCCTTTGTCAGGCTTCTTTCTAGCCAGGTGAGTCTCCCCAGGGAGGGAGCTGCTTGACTGGGGCCGTGTCACAGACGAGGCCTGCCCCCAGTGGCCACACCCCCGGCCTCAGAACAGGTGGGCACCTCTGGAGAGAGGACGTGGAAATGTGGGCAGGTGCATGGAGGTAGATGCACTGATTCCAGACCACCGAAGGATTCATGGCTCAAGGGCCGCACTTTAAATTGTCCCTGAACCAACTGAGGTTTCCAGATGCTTTTGGCAAGACCTCCTTTTCACTTCACTAGTGCCAGGGACAGTACCCGGGGGGGGGGGGGGACTCATAAAA